CGGATGAGCTTAGGTAATCGGGAACACTGGATAGATCAGGATGAAAGTGAGATCAGGTTATTTATGGCCCCAGCTTTCTTCCTGCCTGGTCACTTAGAGGCTGGGATCATCCTCCTGTGAGCAGAAGACCTTTTTCATCTAACTCCCTCTTTTTAAATGAGGTGTCTGCTCCTCCTCTCACTCCTTTCTCCTGAGAGTGTAACATTCCTGCTATTACTAGCCTCAGAGTTCACACGATTGCCCTGCAATTTTAATATACCGTGCCCACATTTTGGTAAATAATCCCTCTATCAAATCCTCCTACTGATCTCAGTGTCATCTCTTTCCTGCTGGGGCCCTGACTGATACAGAAACTACACTTTAAAATTTATCATACATTTTAAAAACAAGCAGTTTTAAAGTGCTCCACTTGAAGCTCCATCCTCCTGAAAACAGACACACAAGAAGCATCGCATCCTGAAAATCTAGGCTTTTAAGATTTGTGAAGAAGACATGCCATGAACTTTCTTCAAAGAGCAAACCTGTGATATCTCTCTTTTATTGTGGCACAGTAACTAAAAATGCTCAAATTTATATTTTCGTTAGCCTTGCATTATCCCAAAGAGAAAGAAAAAAAAAAAATAGAACACTATATGTCACGTAGTATCAACAATTCTGGTAATCATTTTATAATTATTACATATTGACTTATATCATTAGTTTTCCATATACATATCTTAGGTCTCTAATTACACTATGCACAAACGCTGAGGACCAGGACTATATCTTACATTTGTTTTCCTCACACTTATTCATGCCTTGCAAGACTCGTCTCTCTTAACAGCTGTTTAAGAGAGAATGTACTCAATAAATATTTGTTGGCAATTAAAAATAGAGTCAACAGAAACAAACGTAAGGAAGCAGGAAAGCTGGCCCCAAGAGAGATGTTCACTAACTTTAGTGTTTTCTTATTTGCCTTGCTTCATCAAGAGATTCTGCAGCCAGAAAAAGAAAAAAGCTTCCCTGTAAGGTGAATGTAAAATTTTAGGAAAACAGCTGTATACCCATCAAGATCATTTTCCACAAGTGGCCAACACGAAACAGAATTTACAACAGAGACAGGAAGAAGAGTAGGTGGAGTTAGAATAGAAGGAAATGAGGAGGCGCAACAAGAATTAATTACTGGTAATTACACATGCTACAGCCTCTCTTCTTTCTCTACCCTCTATCTAATCAACAGTGGGAACAGATGTGGTCTGTGGTGTCGGGGAGGGGGAATGCTTAACAGCTGTTTGGAGAACATGCCATTAAAAAGCAGCCTTGTCCACAGAAACCCAAGAATCTTGCTGTTTTGAAAGAAAAGAGGTAATGAATAATGACCACAGTCTTACTTTGAACTTCAGATCATTCAGGACAACGCTAACTCTTTCTCTCTTGATTTCTGATGAACTGAGGCAGTAGCTTTGATATTTTGTGACAAGAGAGCCTCAATCTTTAAATTTTCATGTCTCTCATCCAACTGCTACTTCGGAAACCAGTACAAATATCCAACTACTCTTTATTAGTCAACAAATCTGAACTATGACACTGATGATCAAAAGAAAAACTCTTCAAATTCCCACTATAGAGAGTATCAAGTTAGGGTGAAATGATCCCAAATTAGCTCAACTGTCTTTCTGTAGGCCCTTCCATGGGATAAGAACTCTAAACAGCATGGAAATCAGAACATCCCAGTTTACATCTTAAAACATTTAAAGAATGTAGCATACTGTCTATGTATATAATCTTTTCTAAAAGACAAAAACACAAACTAAAGCCCATGATCAAATGTAATATACAACATGACCACCAAGGCTTTAACCGGAAATAGTTACTTACAAAACGGAAGTCCCAGCACCTTTCTGGTAAGAAGATGTTTTTGCTTCCTCCCAAGTCTGATGACTGCCAACTGGGAGGGAGGTCAGTGGCATTCTCACCCCATTTGGACACCCCCAAAATCCAAAGAATGGCGATAGGTGGCACAGATGGGCGGTTTCAGGGACTCTCAGGTGACTGCTGTCTATGATCTGAAACTCTTGTGCTGGAATAACAGGGGAGCTTTTTGACTTCAAAATCAATTAGGTTCCAAAAAGCTGTAAATAAGCCCATTTGTTCACAAACCCAAAGTGATATTCAATAAATGATAGATCATGCCACTGATTGATAGCAAACACATCGATTGCTTTTGCTCAAACATCAACTATGTTAGAAATGTTGGAATTTCTTGAGTAGCTTTAACAATTGCAAGTTCTTAGGTTATGGTGTATACATGTATAGGCATGTAGAATGTTTGAGAGCGCACATATACACATGCACTTGTGGGATACTACACTAATTTCCCATATATAATATTAAATTGAGCATGCACATTCTCAAATTTACTTCTGTGTAGTTTGGGGGCAACTTCAAAAATTTCATTCCATTTCAGTACATGCAAATTGCATGAACTATGATTCAATCCTGTTGGGGATAATTAGAAGAAGATGGAAATGGGTTGGGAAGAGGAAAGGAAAGTAAAAGCTAATGGCAGAACAGGAATAAAAATTTTAGAATGAAGCCATAGGAAAAATAGAAGAAAGTAAGTGCAAGCACACTTGGGACTCAAAACTGTACACTGATGGCATCTCAAAGTCAGCCGTGAGTGGGAGTGGGGGTTGGGGAGCCTAGGGAGATGGGTACCAACAACTTCTGAGGTTGAAAATTAGAAAGGCAATGAACAGCCAGATAGAAAACCAGCCGTGGTGGAGATGGAACATGCCTCAAAGCATGCTTATGTGCAACAAAGCAAAATGTATATTGAACAAGGGATAGTAAATGAAAATGCATAGTTAGTATTCTTTATTACTAAATAAAACATTATAAATGAAAGGGGCAGTTTGTATTATATTCAAAAGATGTATTTAACTATAAATACTGTTTATTCCTAAGAGCTTCCATAGATCCACGTTCAAGTTCAGACCCCCTGGGACTAGTTTCCATGAAGTCTGAAGTCCTCAGAGTTAAACCCTTCCTCCTCCTCCAGGTGAGAAAGAACTAGACCCTGCCTTTGCAGTTCACCAGGATGAAGCTGTTCTTTTTGGGGTGCCCTGCAAACCCGCCTTTTGATTCCTAGAAATCATTTCAGTTACCTGCAAAAGAGCACATACGTTTCAATTAACCCTTCATCCTGAGTTATGTTCCCTTTTCTGCATCAGCAAAGGCGCATTACTATGCAAAAATAATGCTTTTTTTGTCTAACAGAAAATATATTTGGGACAGAAATGGGAGTTTCTGGCAAAAAAAAAAAGGCTTCATTACTTCAGCTTTAAATGTAAATTAGGCACTCAGCAGCATGCAAGTTAGGACAATTTTCCTTACGCAAGATAAGATGAATTATATTTTATTCCTTAGTTCTTAACAAGAGTCACTTCCTTAGACATACCTAACCCTTAAACAAAGGCTGTTCTTTGTCACAGCTAGGGAAATGTTTTTATTAATGATGTTCTTTAAATATGTGTGAATAAAAACCTCTCTTCTATACTCATGTTCATAACAAACTGCTTCTTAGGCAAAGAATATGTATCTAAAGTGAATATAAAAATAAAGGGGGAATATTTGCTTTCTCTGTGAACATTACACATGTCCCAACTAGTGGAAAGGCCTTTTAATAAAAACACCAGCTGTCTTTTGAGGTTCTAATAATGGCTGACTTTGCAAGAAAGTGATGGTTTTTCAAAGTGAAAAGGTATTAAACACACATCTGATTGCATAGAACCAAACTAACAGAACAACTACCAGTGTTTCATGGGGTTTTGCTCTTGTTTTTTTTAAAGTAATCACTTCTTTCATATTCACAATCTTCTCCATCTATCTGGAACTCAGTGTGTCCAAATGTCTCTTGCTCTGTAAATCCTTGAACAAGACCTATCCAATGGTGTCCTTCACCATGGCATAGTGCTGGTCACCTCCAGCAAATAGGTCTCTCAATTATATTCAGCCACTCGGGAGACCATTCTTACACAGGCAAGGATCAAAGATATTTCTCAGAGTATTCTGTCCTAGTTCATCTGAATATAGGATACTGCAGCTTTAAACCTGAAGTTCCCCGAATCACCCTTGGCAAAATATACAGTCCTGGGACGTTGTTCTGGGTTTTTCCTTTAGTCCTGCACCACTTGAATATGCAAGTAAAAAGAAGAAAGGGCAACTGGGATATGCTGGACATCTTACTGAACATGTAACACTTAATTTAAGATCCTAACGTGTGATATCAAAGTTTTAGTATCAGCTTTACACCTGACAGATTCTCCAATTGACAAATGCCTTTTAAAGCTAAATTCTCAAGCTGATATTTCATATGATGAGTACAACTGACCTATATTTTTGCATCATGGAATCTCAACTATGCGAATCATTTCAAGATTATTGTTAGTTATTTTCCTTATGACAGCTATGCATTTCTAAGTAGTACAGAATCACATTCCAATCTTTCTGTTGTACTTCCACACATAGCCACAAAAGGGAAGAGAAATTGAACATTTTTATTATTACATGTGTTTTTACTGCAATTCCCAATGCTGCTTACCTATAAGATCTGTTACATAGTAAGTGCTAAGACCATTAAAAGTTTATGCAATTTTTTAAAAGCATACTTTAAACACATAGTATATATCATATAGACTGGCTCAGTATTTAGAAACATAAATCTTGCAGATAAAATTATAAACAGTGGCAGAATGATATGATAGCCTTCCCCCAAAAAACGAAGTAGAGGTTAGATTCTCTAGAACAGTATTGTTCAATATTGATAAGGCTAGTGGTTACCATGTCTATTGAGCACTTAAAATGTGGAAATTATGGCTAACTGAATTTTTAATTTTATTTCATTTCAATTAATTAAAACAGATTTAAATACCTACCTGTGGCTAATGGCTACCATACGGTACAGTTCAGATCTAGAACACTGATATCTACAGAAGTGATGTGCATAAAGAAAGCTTGTATTGTGCTCACTTTGCCACACATTTACTAAAACTGGAAAGATAAGGAGAAGATTATCATGGCCCTGTGGCAATGATGACACATAAGCTCTTGAAGTATTCATATGTTTGATGTAAAATAGTCACAGGGACATAAAGTTCAACAGGGAATATAGTCAATGATATTATAATAAGTATGTAAGGTGCCAGATGGATATTTGAATTACCAGGGGTGTAATTGTCTGTTATGCTGTACACCTGAAACTAATATCCTGTCTAATAAAAGGCCAATATGCAAATTAACCATCACTCCATCACAAAGATGGTGACGCCCATTGCCACAAGATGGCAGCACCCAGTTCTCTCAGCCCTGCCAGAGTCCCCCAGGCCCGGGGGGTGGGGGTGGCTGCTGAGAGTGGGCAGCATGAGCAGCCAGGAGGAATTCTTGTTTCATCACTACAGCAATGGGGCAAGCATTCTGCACCGGATGGGCCTCTGGGCTACGGAGAGCTCTAGGCAGCGGGCGTGGAGCGGCCAGGCCCCACAGAGAGCTACTGGTGCATGGATTCGTGTGCAGGGCTACTCGTGGAATAATAATGAACATCGATTATAATTGGAAAAAATTTTTTTAAATAAAAGCATAAACAATCCAAAAAATAAAATAGCCCCCAAAAGCTGGTATTAACTAGAATGTAATATTTTAATAATGAATGGTATGAAGACTGAAAAAAAGGTCGAGTAGCCTTGTATTTTTATTGACTAAAAAAATCAATAAGAGGCTTTTAAAGGACAGTCCTGACCAAAAAAGTCAGACACTGTATGTTGTTTTTTTTTTTCCATCTCAATTGATCAACTTGGTGGTAAGAAGCCTTATTGGTATAATCTAAATTTGCACAAAACAACTACATTTGTCTGTAAAAGAAGGCATTATGATACTTCAAATTTTTCAGGCCAAAAATTTACAACCGGAAAGAGTGGTTGGCTAGAAAGCTGAAATGGTTAGTAACAGACATATACATTATACAGGGTGTCCCCAAAAATGTATACACACTTTAGCACATAGCTCAATTTCGAAAATGCAATGTGTATTTTAATAAATACTGCCTTTTATAATTATTCAAAATATGTATACAAATTTGGAGGGCACCTTATATATTTTACCTATGAAATTCAAATTATTATTCTACCCGCGAAAGGGCTCTGTGAAAATTATAAGCACAGTACACATATCATGATTGCTGCTACCACTATTGTTGTTGTTACAGCAAAAGTCCCCTGGGGGACTCTGGCAGGGCTGAGAGAACTGGGTGCTGCCATCTTGTGGCAATTAGCATCACCATCTTTGTGATGGAGTGATGCTTAATTTGCATATTGCCCTTTTATTAGACAGGCTATTAGTTTCAGGTGTACAGCATAACAGACAATTACACCCCTGGTAATTCAAATATCCAAGGAACTTGCAAACTGGTACTGGCCAAGGCTTTGCTGGTTTCCCACAGGTTTGGGTGGATGTACAGACAGTGATGCCACTTCATTTAGATTAGTGAAAACATGAGAACTGATGTTTACAAATTCGGTGGTCACTGGGTCTTAGCATCATTTGTTTGTTTTTAATAGTAAACTGGGTGGTCCTTTAGCCCTGACTGTGGACAGCTAATATGCAGGCAATATTTTAGGAAATACCGTATTTTTCGGACCATAAGACGCTCCGGACCATAAGACGCACCAGTTTTTAGAGAAGGGAAATGAAGAAAAAAAGATTCTGAAACAAATAGTGTCCTAAAATATTTTATGTGCATTAAAACCCAACATCACAGTCATAAACACATGTAATCAACCCTGTAAAGTAAACAGCAGCATTTAGAACCATTTTAGAGCCGGGCAAGCACACAGAGACCACACAGAGCCGGGCAAGTAAAAAAACTTTTTTTTTAAAGTATATGTGTAGGCTATATTTGGACCATAAGATGCAGGGACTTTTTCCCCCCACTTCTGGGGGGAAAAAAGTGCGTCTTATGGTCCGAAAAATACGATAATAAGAATCTAGTAAGTGAAACTGGCTCACAATTCCAAAATTTGAATCTCCTCCATTATACCTCAAGTAGTGCCATTACTCCTTTTTTTTTTTTTTTTACTACTTTTTAAAAAATATATATTTTATTGATTTTTCTTACAGAGAGGAAAGGAGAGAGAGAGAGAGAGCTAGAAACGTCGATGACAGAGAAACATCGACCAGCTGCCTCTTGCACACCCCCTACCGGGGATGTGCCCGCAACCAAGGTACATGCCCTTGACCGGAATCGAACCTGGGACCTTTCAGTCTGCAGACTGACACTCTACTGTTGAGCCAAACCAGTTTCGGCATAGTGCCATTACTCCTTGAAGGCAGCTACCTTTCATGTTCCCTGGCTCTTTTATATGGAATTATAGTATATTCCTTAATTTAAAGAAATCAAAAATATATGTTTGGATCCCAGGACTTTCTAGGTTTAAATTTAGGTATTTCCTACATTTTCAAATAAAGTTATTTTACGTCTATTAGGACAGATTAGCTTTTCCTATTAAAACAATACTATAAATAGTAATTGATTTTAAGAACAAGAGTTTGGCATCCATACTTTAAACAATAAAGTTTAGGGGGGGAAAAACAGACGTGTAGCTCTCTATAAATTGAGTAAAACTAAATTATTGGCAGTACAAGAGGATAATTAGAAGGGATTCACACACCCCTTCCAGACCACAACTATAAGGGGGGAAAAAGAAGTAGAGGTAGAAGAAGAATAGGAGAAAAGTCACCCTCCTAGGGTAAAACATACCTGCACAATGGATATAACAACACTGTTAAAATTAACCAAGAGACTATGTGATGCCTGGCCTCATAATGTAAAAACCTCTAAAATTCCTGCCAAAACCGGTTTGGCTCAGTGGATAGAGTGTTGGCCTAACTCACTGAAAGGTCCCGGGTTCGATTCCGGTCAAAGGCATGTACCTTGGTTTCAGGCACATTCCCAGTAGAGGGTGTGCAGGAGGCAGCTGGTCGATGTTTCTCTCTCATCGATGTTTCCACCTCTCTATCCCTCTCTGTAAAAAAAAATCAATAAAATATATTTAATAAATAAATGTTTCTAAAGGTGACCTAAGTGTAATCTTAGGAAGCAGGCCTAGAATGTGGCTTGTAATTTAGTAAATTGGATGATGGTTTAGTTAAAAAAAATTGTGTGAACAAAGAAAAATGGTCACCATAGATATAAGCTCAAAGACCCAGACATTGTCAAGCTTTACTGCTCAGCATTATTCAGGGGAAACCCAAATAGTTCGTGTGGCAGGTGTATCCTAATCATGGATTATCTAACCAAGTCCCTTTGTTTTGATTCCATTCTCACCAAGCAACCTTGTGATTGTAATTTGGCTTCCCATGTGGCTTGTCTATAAAGAGAAAATGCACTAATCTCTCAGTTCAACCTCGCTAGTCTAATTAACAGCTGTAGTTCTCACTTCAAATGAACAAACTGACATTAGGGCATGTCCATGTGAGCCTGACCATGCATAGTGAGCCAGGAGTCAGATTTCTGAGCCTTTAAGAAAATAAGCTCCTTGTTCACCGCTGAACCTCCTGTGCCTAGAACAGTGCATGGCTCATGTGCTGCTCAGTAGATATCAGGCTGAGATCCAGAGACCTAAGATGACTTCTCCTAGTATCTTTCTATTCAAATTGCAATATATACTAAGAGGGTATAAATGTTCAATATCAAACGGCCAGAAAATAAAGTCATTGCAAGTAAAATATTTAAATATCATAGCATTAATATGACCTAAAACTGATGCATTTGATATAGTTAAGAAATTAGAAATGCTTTGTTTTTAGACCTAAAATATAAATGTTTTCTTCGATTCTTTTACTCTTGAACAACTTCCATGACAAGCAAATGCACTCAAAATCATTCAGAAGCTTGACATATTTGGTATTCAAGAACGCTACTGAAACCATTTTGAAACGAGCTAAGTCAACACTTCTCCTTTCATCTTTCTCTAACTCCACAATTTATTCTAAATATCCAGTTGAGCTACTTCATATCAAATCCAATAAAGGTAAAATTGACTAGAGAACGCTGCTAAGTTACCCAGTTCCATGGTGTGAATACAGCTATTAAAACATCTCTCAACTGGCTAGAATGTCACAAAACCAAGAGCCCGGACATTCTGCTTCCAGCACTCGACAAACCCTCTCCCAGAAAACAACTACAGCCTCTGGATGACGGGGAAGGGAAGGAAACTACCCGAAGGTACTAAAGAGTAACGTAAGACAGGCCACAAATGAAGGAACGTCAACGGTACCCAGAGAAAGGGAAAGACTGGGTCAAGCGGCCCATTTTTCTAACATTTTGCCTTAGGGCAGTCACCACAGGTCTGTGTAGAGTAGGGGTGTCGAACTCAATCAGAGAAGGGGCCAAAATCTAAAATCCAGCCTAAATCGCGGGCCGAATGGTTTACTGAACAGTCATAAACTGTCATTGTGATGGAAACTCAGCGGAGTGCAGTGATGACAGTGCAGTGCGGGCCACATTGCAAGGCCTGGCGGGACAGATTTGGCCCGCGGGCCTTGTGTTTGACACATGTGGTGTAGAGCATTAGTCTGAAGAGCCGGAAGACAGACACAATAGATGATGAAAAGAAAAGACACAAATTATCAATATCAAAAATGAGCGAGGCCATGGCCAGGTAGCTCAGCTGGCTAGAGCATCATCCTGAAATGCCAAGGTTGGGGGTTCAATCAACCAATGAATGCATAATAATGGGAACAACATATCAATGTATCTCTCTCGCTCTAAAATCAATTTTAAAATGTTTTAAAAAGAATGAGAGAGATGGCACCACTACCAATTCTACAGCTTTTAAAAATACAAAAAGGTAATATTATAAACAACTCCATGCCCATAAACTATACAAAGTCCTTAAAAGACACAACAACCAAAGCTTATTCATGAAGAAACATAACCTGAACAGCACTATATCTTTTAAAGAGACTGAATTTGTAGTTGAAAACTTTTACACAAATAAAAGTCCAGGCCCAGAAAGCTTCAGTGGTGAATTTCAATACTTCAAACATTTAAGGCAGAAAAAATATTAATTCT